AAAAAAAAAAAAAAAAGGCTGGCTGACAAAAGAGCAGTGGCTAAAACTAGAAGGCTTTCCTTGCCCACCTGAACCTACCATGAGCAGGTCCTTGCCCTCTGGCTCCAGACTGGGCACAATCTCTGCCAGGCCCTTTCTAGTCCATTTGGGAAAGCTGCCCTTATAATCAGGCAGTTGGGTGACTCCAGGCCATGTGGCTTCACTGGGTGTCCCCAGAGTGCGAAAGATACGAAAGAGCTGATCAATCTCAGAGTCACCAGGAAATAGGGCTTTTCGAGTCACCTGGAAAGGGGAAGAAGAGAAGGTATAGTCTGCCACTTTGTCATAGAGAATGCAACATCAGATAAGGGAGGGACCATAGTGATATGTTCCTCATGGCTGTGCAAAGAATTCTACCCTTTTCTGGAATAAGGCTGGCTTCCTTAGTCCTTTAGCCAGTCCCAAACACCCCTTAATCCGCCTCTAACAGAAGCATTAGTGAAACCTCCATCACCCCTACCCCATACGACCCGGCCTGTGGCCTCTACTGGCCACACATTTCTCCCTCTCTACCATCTCTGCAAAGATGCAACCAATGCTCCAGACATCCACTGCTGTCGAATAGAACTTGCTGCCCAAGAGGATCTCAGGGGCACGATACCACAGTGTCACCACCTGTGAGGCAAGAAAACAGCATCATTCAGGGTGACATTCCTTGGGCTGCCCTCCTTTCCTCTTTGTCCTGCAATACCTCGTGGGTATAGGTGCGCAGGGGCACCCCAAAGGCTCGAGCCAGGCCAAAGTCAGCCAGTTTGATGGCGCCCAATTCATTGATGAGCAGATTCTGGGGCTTCAGGTCTCTGTGGATGACCCGGTGAGAGTGGCAGAAGCTCACCCCCTGCAGCAGCTGGAAGAGGTAGCTCTGGAGGAATGAGAACGAGAAGGATCTGGCTGAGCAGGGCCAGCTGGGTCAGGGTTACCTCCCCTCCCCAGATCTTGCCTCCACACCTTGACCATGTGCAGGGGGAGATCTGAGGCCGCGGCAGAGTCCATGTACTTCTTTAGGTCCTGGCTGAGGAACTCAAACACCAGGTAAAGCTTCTTCTCACTGTGCACCACATCCAGCAGACTGGCAGGGAGATGGCGATCAGGGCACAGCCTTCCCCATCTCAGTATCCCTGCCTCCTTCTTGAACTCACCTGACAATGTTGGGGTGCTTTAGCTCCTTGAGCAGGGAGATCTCCCTGATGGCTGTGCTTGGGACCCCCTCAGTCTCCCTGCAGGACACAAGGGCACTGCTATGGGCATGGCAGTGGGCACTAAGAAGGACACTTTGGCCAGAGGGATTCACGTCCATGCCCCTTGTCCCAGTTTAGATGGTCTGCCCCACACTGGGGACCTGTGCTAACACTCCATGCTCAACAGAGGAGGGCCCAGGCCAAAGGCTGGGTGAGAGGCAGTGAGGTGGGGTGAGGACAGGTGGGGGCTACACCTTGTGGCTGCCCCAGTATAAGTGGGCAGCAGCCGGAAAAGGAGTTGAGTGCGAACTGCCAGACGTGGAATGAATGGAGGGGGAGCACCCAGGCTGTGGGGGGCCCAGAATGTCTCAGAAGCTGTCCCCACACTCACAAATCCAGCCTAATCTTCTTGAGGGCCACTAGCTGCCCCGTCTCTTTGTTCTTGGCCTTATACACCACCCCATAGGTGCCCTCTCCGATCTTCTCTACCTTCTGGAACACATCCATGTCTGCAGAGCTGCCTGGGAAATAGATGGAGCTGGCCATTTGCACCCCACGCTTAGCACCCCCATTGCCCTAGCAGCCCCTACATGAGGGGGGCCACACAGGAGGCCATTTGCACCCTGCCCAGCCCCCACCAGGCTTCTTCCCAGTCCCCTTCCCCACCCCCACCCATCCTGCCTAGGAAACCTGGCCAGGGCCCCCAGGCCTCTTGCCCCATGCCTGGTGACTGCCCACAGGAGGGCCCAGACTTCTGCCCCAGTCCTGGCCTTGCCCCAGCCAGGCCCAGGCTGTAGGTGCACAAAGCTGTCTAGAAGGGCTGCCCAGGGGCTGAGGACAGCACAGGTCAGAGATCAGGAGTCGGGAAGAGCTTCGGAAGCCACAGTCCTTCCGGAGGCTGCATGGTCAGGGCTCAAGGCATAGGCCCGGCCTGTCTGGAGATGCTCGGCCTCCTCTGAGGGCAAAACTTTGGCAGGGGTGGCCCCCCTGCATCCTGGGCCCCGCACCTGGGTCCCAGGGCCACCAGAACCTTCCCCTCAGGCCCCAGCTGGGAATTCACCAGAAGCAAGAGCAGCCACAGCCTCAGTGCCGCCCGAGCTCCTGCTCCACGGCTCCCCCTCCTGGCCCTGGCCGGCACCACACCACATGCACACCGCGCAAGGGAGCTGCTGGCGCCTTTATTCTTAAGAACCTTCTGGAACCCTTCATGCCCCCTCATGAGGCACAGCCCCAGTTCTGAGAGCTCAGCCACCTGCAGTCTCCTTGGAGGTGTCAGATTCAGGCACCTGCTCTTTGGGCCCTCATTCCTGGGCCAATCCCAAATTAGGGGAAGGATCTGGATTATCTGCCTGTCTCCCACTGCTCTGGCTCCAAGACAAAGGCTGTCAGTCACTCAGGCAGCACCGACACCTCTGTGGGGCTCCACGGCTCCTGCAGGTTTGGCCTCAGGAGCAGCTGTGGGTGTTGCTAAGGGCTGCCGCCCCTCTCCTGCTGGTACTGCCTCTGCTCCCGGATGGCTCGCTCCAGCAGGGACACATTCATCCCTTCTACACACGTCAGCACTCTGGCCTTCACCACGCAGCCTCTGTCTGAAAAACACAAACGCCACGACCACCGTGTCAGCAATGTCCTGCCCAACTTGCTCAGTCCTGAGGGTTTTGTGTTTCGGGGCTGTTTTTGGTGGTTGTTATTTTGGCTTGGGACAGAGTCTTGGTGTGTCATCCAGGCTAGAGTGCAGTGATGCCATAGCTGACAGTGGTTTCAAATTCCTGAGCTCAAGCCACCCTCCTACCTCAGCCTCCAGAGTAGCTGGGACTACAGGCTCTGACCGCAATGCCTAGTTAATTTTTCTACTTTTAGTAGAGACAGAGTCTCACTCGTCCTCAGCCTAGTCTTGAACTCCTGACCTCAAGTGATCCTCCCACCTCAGCCCCCCAGAGTGCTAGGACTACAGACCTCAGCCCTGAGGTGTTTTTTTTTTTTTTTCCCCAGAAAGTCTCACTTTGTCGCCCCCTGTAGAGTGCCCTTGCATCAGAGCTCACAGCAACCTCTAACTCTTGGGCTCATGCAATTCTCTTGCCTCAGCCTCCCAAATAGCTGGGACTACAGGTGCCCACCGCAACACCGGCTATTTTTAGAGATGGGGTCTCACTCTAACTTAGGCTGGTCTTGAACTTGTGAACTCAGGCGATCTGCCCACCTCAGCCTCCGAAAGCCACCGCACGTGGCCCAGGCCTGAGTATTGACAGCAAGGGCTGGGGGCAATAGGATGGCATATGAGACAGTGGCAACTTGCCCATCACACACTGTAGACACATATCTGGAAATTTGTGGATATCCTGAAAATTCCGCTTCTCTGGAGAGGAAAGGCCAGGAAGGGGCACACTCTACTTCCCTCCTAGGCCACCTTAATTTCAGCTTCCTTCTTCTTTGGTCCCAAGTGCCCAGGATTGAGTTGGGGTCTCAGCCACCATCCTGGTTCTTCATTTGTACTGAGGGAAGGGACCACTTAGCATCTTGGGACCCACTGTCACTGGGAATGGGGGCAAAGAGACACTCGTGTTTAGTTGTTTAGTAAATCCAAGGGACTGAGCTCCAGGTGAGTATGGCCTTATAAGAACAAGTGACCCCACCCCCTGGACGAGGGCCTCGAGGGGCTTCTAAGAGATGTGTTGGTGATGTGACACATAACGGAAAGGTTTATCAATGTTCAAGTGGCATCAAACAGGAAAAACATCTAGGTTTTGCCCTAATAGATTTTTTTTTAATTCATTCATGTTCTCTCTGTTCTCCAGGCACTTTGATGAATACATTTGATGTTCTAGGACATTACCCTGTACACTTCATGCAGTTTTGAGCTAGAGGATCTCTGGTTGAAGTCTATGCCTACCTTTCCTTCTTGTGTAGACCAATTTATCAATTTAACACAGCCTGGGAACAGAATTCAGAGTGTTGGATTGCCAAATTCCAGAGGCCTACACCGGATACCCTTGGAAGATAAACTTGTTTGACATAAGAGGCTTTATTTAGGGGGATTTCTTCTTGAAAAGATAAAAAGCCTGGGCCAGGCATGATGGTTCACGCCCATAATCCTAGCACTCTGGAAGGCAGAGGCCAGTGGATTGCTTGAGTTTAGAAGCTTGAGACCAGCCTGAGCAAAAGCAAGACCCTGTCTCTACTAAAAATAGAAAAATTAGCTGGGTGTTGTGGCAGGCCCCTGTACTCCCAGCTACTTGGAGAGGGGCTGAGGCAAGAGAATTGCTTAAACCCAAGAGTTTGAGGTTGCTGTGAGCTATGACGCTATGGTACTCTACGCAGGATGACAGAGTGAGACTGTCTCAAATAAAGATAAAACACCGGGACCAAAGAAGAGAGTGGGTCACAAAGAACAGTCGGAATGCACTGGGGTGAGAACTAGTCAACAGGACAAGGAAGGGGTGATGTGGGGAATGGACCTTCTTTTAGGAAGTCTGTGAAGGGAAGGAAGGTGATAGCCAGGCAGCAGGGATACAGCAGGGAACGGGTTGTCTTGGGTTATATAGTAAATATACAAACACTAATGAAAGCTGATTAGTGAGAAAAATGTCTGTGCATACTTTCTGTGATATTCGACATGACAGAGCAAAAAAAGTCCTCACAAAATCAGCATGTGGCC